GGGGGGGGGATTCTGGGAGCTGGAGTCCGCAGGTCTTAAAAATCACCAAGTTTGGAGACCCCTGCACCAGAGCAAAGTGGCTGTTTCCTTTCTTATTTCCCTACATTTATGCATGTTCCTGGAACTAGGCTTGACTGAAGGAAAAGGAGGGGACAAGGAGTTAGGAGGAACCTGAGAGGAGGATTTATAGTCCTGTTTCTCTGTTGCTGTTGTATATAAGTCAACCCCCATCCCTTAGTTGGTGCCCATAGGTACCATTCATTAATGATGATGCCTTGCCTACTACTGCTGGAAAGGAAAATTCAAAAATAATTGCTTATTACAATCGATTATGCCATTGCGAGTCAAACGTAATGGAATCCTTAAGTCATGTTTTATTATAGTGCCTCTGTTGTAGAACTAATATCTGTAATAAAGCATGTACTGCACTGCTGTTAGCTGACTTCCCAGAATGCAGAGATTGTCTTTATATTAAAATATTGCTGGCTAGTCACTATGATTTTACATCCTTGGCAGTGACCAAGTTCTGCTCTCAAGGTCGGGTCAAATTCTGACCCAACAACATAAATACTTTATTTTTGAATTGCAGAGCCTTTTCTTTCTATCTGGCTTTTGTGCTATGCTCTGTAAAGCTTATCTTCCTTTTTACTGTTGTAATATTTGGGCTATGATTGTACATTGAATAAACATACTTATCACACCACTCTCTTATTATGGAATGCACAAGAAATAATAACTAAAGACAGGACAGAAAAGGAAAAGCAGCTAAAACTATTTCACACTGGCATTTATAATGTACATAATGGCAAAAATGCCATTTCGGGGGGACTGAAAAAGAATTGACCATATATCCTTGTTCTCATCTCCTTGCAGTTATTGTTAACACGGGTGTAGCTCTATCCCCTTAAACCTCCGTTTGCATATAAAACAGGCTCTCTGTGTTAAACAGCACAGCTTTAGAGGAATATTTAAGGATACTTATTGTAGCTGACAGTAACAGGAGGCAGGAAAGGAAGATTTTGAAATAGACTTTAGTTTAAAAGAAGAGAAATGAAAATTTAGGTCTGAATTATCATATCTTGCCTTTAGCAAAATAACTGTTGAGAATGGAAGGTCCTTTCCCCATATCAGCTGATGTGAACAAGGATAGTAGATTTCCTCTTACTCATTTTTTATTGGCTATTCAAAAACGTATTTCTCATGCCTTGCTTTAAGGCATTAAACCTTTAAGAAAGAACTTCTTCAGATATACATTTTTCCAATATGAGTACTCAAGCAAAATATAGGCAATCCTCAACTAACAACTAATTGAGCCTGGATTTATGGTCATAAGCGGTGATGAGCAGAGCATTAAGTGGGTCACCATTTGACTGGGCCCGATTGTATGACCTTTTGGGGGGAAGTTGTTAAGCAAATGCTGTGGTCATTAAGCAAACCCATTTTATAAATAAGGGGAAATGTACCTGTCCCAGGACAATGTTGCAAGATCCAATCTGGGTTGGTCACAGGGACCAAAGGTTTACTCTTCCTATAAACAGTAAATCGCTGGTCCCGAGGACTGACCCAGATTAGATCTTGCAAACCCATTTTATTTATTTATATTTCATATTTCTTAATAGCCCATCTCCCTTGGATTTTCTCATTTCTGTCTTCCCATTTTCCTCAATGGGCATTTTTTTGTTGCCAGAAAGAAAGGTGAGAAACTAGCAAAAGCCACTAAAAATTGTGCTCATGTGACTGCGGGACACTGCACACGGCTGTAAATGTGAACCAGATGCCAATCTCCCAAAATGGGATCACGTGACCAGGGAGTGGTGGCTTTTAGAACTTGGAAATCAGATGAGGTCGTAAGCAGCTCTGCAGAGGTCCATTTGTAACTTCAACCATTTAACCGGTTGTTAAATGAGGACTACTTGTAAAATATTTCACCCAGTGTTTTCTAGTTCTCTCTATAATTGGAAAGTATGCAATTCTTCAACATGATGCCTTCTAAATTTAAGATTTTTTGGATGCAAGTCACAAAGTATCTCAAAAATATCGTGTTAATTTGGACCTATATTTGCTACATTTTGTGTCTTTTTTATTTTAGGGAGCAATGTCTGCTTTCTTTCAGATCTTGAATTAATTCCAGCATGGCAGAGTATGGGATCTCTCTCGGCGAACAAGTGGCTGTGGTTTGCGATAGTTACGCCTCTCCCGAGGCACTTCAGAAATTTGTCCAGGATGTTCAAGCAATTATTGGAGCTGAAAATCAGGTTTCTGTAGAAAACGTCAATCAACTGCTTTATTGTGAGTGTTCAGAAGTACTCATTATTGTGGTAAATACATTTGAATTAAAGATAACATGTGCCATTTATAAAGGAGAATTCTTCATTGTTAATACCTTAGAAAATTTATGCTAAGTCTTATGCTCTATGCAGGATGGTCCTTGGTTAACGATTGCCCTGTTTAATGAGCATTTGAAATTATGATTGGTCCCTAATGAGGGGGACTTATAGCAGGTCTTTGAACTTGTGACTGTCAAAGTATCCCTGCTGTCACATGATTGAGATTTGAGCACTTGGCAACCAGTGCGCATTCATGACTGTCACCGCATCCTCCGGTCACGTAATTGACATTTTTGCACAACAAGCAAAGTCTAGGGAAGCCGGCAGTCAAACTGTAATTTGCAGTCACATGATATCCCACTTAATGACTGTGAGTGACTTGCTTAACAATGCTAAAAAATGGTGTAAGTTGGCACGGTCATGTGGTGTTTAACTTACAGCCATGTTGCTTAGCAACACAATTAGCAGTTATTAAGTGTGGACTTCCTGCTCAGACACTGTGTGTTGAGATTATTCCTTTAGTCTAGGACAACGAAGAGTATCGGAAGGGTGTTTTTTTATTCAACAATAATTAAAATAGTCTATCCAAAATACATCCCCCGACAGCACACGGCCAAAATAAGTTTACTGATAAGAAATACTCCAGTTCACCTCCTTTCTGTTGCCTCTTACCATATTACCAAATAGCAATATTCACGATAAGGTCAAAGTTAATGACAATTAACTTCTGAAATATAGGAAAATAAATTCTTTTTTCCATCTGAACATCTGATTGATCTGAAGACATTTTAGGTAGCTATCCACGCAGCAGAAGGACAAAGGAAATGTATAAATGCAGATAGATACTGTAAGTTACCAAAGAAATAGCATGAACTGAAAAAAGAACCTCATAAAATGTAGGTTAAAGCTCATTGTGATAACCTCTATATAAAACCCGAAGGAGGTGGAAAGGCAGTGGCACTCTGGATAGGAGGGCACAAAACTCATCAAAGATTACATCAAAGACCTACCAGAGAAACCTCTTATATTGTTCCTCATAAATTTTATGAGAAACATAATTTTATATAGGGTTCAAGGAACTGAATGTGGTCCATAACAATATAAAATAAGAGGCCTAGTAAATGAGTCAAACTCAAAGTAAGCTTTATCCAACTGTTGGGTAAAAGGTTCACCTGAAGACGGAGGCTCAGCTGTCTCATCCAGAAAGACCAGAATCAAGGCAGGCAAAGCACATTCATAACAACCTCCACAGCAATATTTGGCACAGAATAAGACAACCTTCTTTATGCAACTCAGGGTCCTTGGTTGGGAATCTGGATCTTTCCTCAATTTGTAAAAAGCTGGAAATAATCATCTCCACAACAGTTTTCTAAGCTTGGAAGCAGTTTACCAAGTCTTTCTCACTCTACGAACAGCTATTCATTGCATGGAAGTCATCAGTGACAAAAGCAGTGTTTTTTGAACTTGGTAACGTTGAGCTATGTAAACTTCAACTCCCAGAATTTTGCAGCTAGCATGTTGCATACGTGCATATACGGGTAAGTATAATTGGTATATGTATGTGCTTCCCATTTTATTTTCTCAGCCTCCCACAAAGAGTCCAGCTTTGATGTGGTTCTTTCAGGACTGGTTCCTGGCAGCCTAACACAGCACAGTGCAGAGCTTCTTGCTGAAATAGCTCGGATTGTCAAGCCTGGAGGCCGTGTCCTTTTGAAAGAAGCAGTGACCACCGAAACAGGTAAGTCTTTAGTCCTTCGCTTATTTCCAGCCATTAATTGGAGCTCCATCACCCTCACTTTTGCACTTGGGGAGAATAAAAGGCCAGTGCAAACTTGGTTGATTTCAACACACTTGCACAGGTAGTCTTCAACTTACCACAGTTCACTTAGTGACCATTCAAAGTTATAACAGCACCCCAAAAAAGGGACCTATGACCGCTTTTCACATTTACAACTATTGCAGCATCTCCATAGTCACGTGACCAAAATTCAGACCCTTGGCAACTGTTTAGAACGGTTACAGTGTCCCAGAATCATGCAATCACCTTTTCTGACCTGACAAGCAAAGTGGAGGCTCAGTGATTAGAATGCGGTACTGCACGCTGCTTCTGCTGACTGTTCGATTCTGAACAGCTCATGGTTGAACCGCTCAAGGTTGACTCAACCCTCCATCCTTCCGAGATCAGTAAAATAAGGGCCCAGATTGTTGGGGGCAGGAGGCTGACTCTGTAAACTGAGGAAGCCAGTTTCACTTAACAACTGTGTCACTAACAACTACAGAGATTCACTTAACAGTTGTGACTGGAATGGTCGTAAAATGGGGCAGATTTTACTTAACAAATGTCACTTAGCAATAAAAATTTGGGGCTGTATTGTGATCATAAGCTTAAAACATGGTATCAGGGAAAATCCTTTGGGAGGAAAGATATATACTTCAAAATGTCATTGAGTTTGGCCAGCGTTGGATGGTTACATAGACGCTGTACATCTATGGAGTTTTCTTAACAATAGCCTACAAATGGGCTACGACTTCTCTTCCAAGAGGTGTTTCTGACTTTCCAGTTCAGCCTCAGTAACCTTGAGATGTACTTCCAAGGAACAGCCTAGTGTGACTCTACTTAGTCTTTGGGCGAGACAGAATTAATCTGAAGCTATCACTTGCTGAAACCATGTGCAACCCAGATTGCACCTGTTTGAACAGGGATCCTGTTTAATTTTATCCTGTCACAAGTCTCCATTCTGGACAGGGAGAAACGGCTTCTAAAATCTGAGACATCAGCCAGCCATGAACTGGCCCATCATAATAGCCATAGCCCTTAGACTTATATCCCGCTTTACAGCTTTTTCTAAGAGGTTTACAGAGTCATCCTCTGGACCAGCCCCAAGAATCCCATCCTTTGCATTTCCCCCTGGTTCCTCTTGTTACTATCTGGCCCCAAAGCTGCACCCCTACTGATTTCACCTCTCCTAAGATTGCAGTACTGTGGCTATTTTTTATTCCTTTTTTCTATTTTAAGAAAGTAGTTCCTGAACATTTGGATTCGGATACAGTACAAAACAAAGCAGTCTCATTTAAACAGCGAAAATAGAAAGCAGATTAAGAAACAATATCTTATAGCAGCATATTAACACACATCTGAAAATGGGTCTGTGTGGGCTCCATAGTGCTTGGTGTTACAATTGAAAATGCTTTCTCTTTTATCAATCAGAAACTTGCACGTGAGGTAATGATAAATAACAAACAAATGACAATTTGACTCCAGACAAGCTGAGAGGGGACTAGAGATGAACTCCAAGTTATTTAGCGCTTTAGTATTAAAACCAGTTGAGACGAGAAAGTAATGTAATGCAGTTATGTGAGATTTGTGAGGGCTGGTAAGAATCCATGAAGCTCCTTCGTGTTCCCTCTAATTTCCTGGCACAACTGTAAGTTTTTTTCCCTGTGAAACATGGTGAAGGGAATGAAATACAATTAAAACCATATCTGAGAACCCAGATTGTTGGAGGCAAGAGGCTGACTCTGTAAACCGCTTAGAGAGGGCTGTAAAGCACTGTGAAACGGTATATAAGTCTAAGTGCTATTGCTATATCATGGCTAGCTGAATAAATCAGTTTGCCTGTAAGAATTATACATCAAGAACAGGAGCAACGTGTCTCACGTGGTTAGGACATTGAGTTGACAATCAGCAAGCCCGCCTGAGTGCTGCTGTATGATGGGTGAGCTCCCGTCATTCATTCTAGCTGCTGCTGATGTAGCAATTCAAAAGGATGCAGTTGCAAGTAGATAAGTACCAATTTGGTTGACACATTAATGGGGGCATGGAAGGAGCTTCCAGTTAGGCAACAGTGATAGCAATGGCTGATCCTTTCGCCCTGAAAACGACACGAACGTGAACTACAGGACCTTTGCAGCTCTCTGAAAATTGTGGAAGTACATAAGAGAAGCCTGACCCTATTGCATTCTTTTATTAAACCAGTCTATTTTATCTGGAGTGATTTGGAAAGCCTGTCAGAAGTTGTTTTTTTCATCCTCATAACTTTTATTTATGGATATTTGTTATCTGCTCTATTTCTTAGGTAACGATGACAAACTCAAGACAGTAAGCAAACTACAAACAATCGCAACACTCTCTGGTTTGGTTGAGGTAAAGGAGGTAAGCATTTTGATGTTGAGTTGTCAAGAGATCATTTTAGAAAACTCTGCACTTTAAAAAGGCCTTTATGCTGCTGTTCAAAATTACAGCTTTATAAAGCTGGTTGCTAGAAGTATATATAAAATATGCAATACAGCAACCTTATAATCTCAATTCATACTTCAAAGGAGAGAGAAAATACATTTGAGAAGCAAAAGATTGGGTTTATACAGTGAGTAAGCCAAAATGCCTCTGGAAAAATCTTCCTTTAATAGGAGAAAATGTTATTTTGTCTGTAATAAGCCATCATTGGTTAATAAGCACTTTGTTCAGGTCTTCCCTGCCTGAATGGATTAACTGGTAAAGTAACTTGTCGTCATCGTGTCCCCCCCCGTCCCGTCCCCCCCCCGCCTTCCAGCTGCAGAAGGATGCTTTAACCTCAGAACAAATTCAAGCTGTCCAGAAGCATCTGGATCTGCAGTGCCATGAAATTCTCGCAGTTCAGTTAGAAGGCAAAAAGCCCAATTTTGAGGTTGGATCTTCAAGTCAGCTCAAGCTTTCTACTATCAAGAAACCACCAACTGGTAAGAAAGCCATAGGCAGGGGCTTTTATCTTCTCAGATCTTGCTCCTAGGTTCACTTAAGCACATCTGTAGAAACCATCCTAAGTACGGGGAAGTTATGATTGAATGTATACCTCACCATTATTTTGTCCAGTTCAAGGCAGTGAATATAATCTTCCCACCTCCTGGTTTCCCCACAACAACCACCTTTTGAGGTGGGTTAGCTTAAGAGAATGGACTAGCCCAAAGTCACCCAACTGGCTTAATGCAACTCAGTCTCTCAGTCCAGCACCTTCACTTCCACACCAAACTAGTTCTGAAAAGCCCGGCCCTTTGGCTGTTGATTAAAAGGCCCTGCCTCAATTTTCCCCTTGAGCCTCTTCAGGGGAAAAGAATAATACTTGATCAGATTTTCCATGATTATAATTTTTGTTTAAATTGATTATTAAATAATACACTCAGCTCAGAGGTATCAATAGTCCCCGGGATGGTTTTATATCATAGGACTAAGACGTTTTGAGGCTTGTCACATCATCTTTACAATTGTGTTCTCTGGGGTCGATTGGTTGTTTCAGAAAAACCACGGGTGGATCCCACGGCTGCAAAACTCTGGACTCTTTCTGCCAATGACATGGATGACGAGGACGTGGTAGGTGCAGAAAGGCCCCTCCAAAGGCTGCCAGACAACCTCACCCAAAGGGATGCCCTGCCTTGATTTGCAAGGTTATGTTTTCTGTATTCCACATTATTGCTGAGCCACCTCCTAAGCCAGGAAAAAGAGGCAAATAAGGTTGGGCAGCTCCACCCAAGAGGAATTTTGAAACTATTTTATATGTATTTTCTCCCCCCAAATCTGGATTTTATACAGTTCCCCTCTTTTGATAGAAGCAGCACTCCATTTTATTACTGTTGCTTATCTTTTTTTAAAAAAAGTCTTCAAAGCTGTTCAGCAGCTCTAAGCATTTAGTAACAAACTTCGCCCGGGGATCTTTGCTTCCTGTGGATCTGGGATTTGTTTGGGATTTGTTTTCTCTGGGTTCTTATTGTCTCCAGGATCTCCTGGATTCAGATGAGCTTCTGGATCCTGAGGATTTGAAAAAGCCAGATCCCGCATCTCTCAAAGCACCTTCTTGTAAGGAATCTGGAAAGAGGAAAGCCTGTAAGAATTGGTGAGTGTCAAAATAAGTCAAGGACTTACCAATACATAGACACCTGAAGCACGATAACAAAAATGCCGCAGAGAAAACAACATCTAGAAAATAGAGACCATGGATTGCAGTCCTGGTGAAACCTTCTAAATCAGTGTTTCTCAAATTGGCAATTTTAAGATGTGGGGACTTCAAGCCCCAGAATTTCCCAGACAGAAATTGGGAGTTGAAGCCCACTTGCCAAGTTTGAGAAACCCTGATTTAAAATCATTGTTCTTGTGATGGAGCAAACACATTTATTTGGGGTTAAATGAGGAGTTGGAGTTATTTAAATACTAGCTGACCCTTAATCCGTTGGATTACCTTTTCCAAGATGCTTACTTAAAGCGATAACAGAATGACTACAGGTGAACAAAGCAATGGGAATGACTTCTGACTTCCTACTCGTTTCCCTATCAGCTTTGCAAGTGGGAACCTTGCTGGAATGTCAGAAATCACAATCATGTAGCCACAGGGATGCTTACTTACAATAGTTCATTTAGTGACCATTCAAAGTTACAATGGCACTGAAAAAAAGTGACTTATGAACGTTTTTCACATGTACAGCCATTGCGGCATCTCCACAGTCACCTGATCAAAGTTCAGCCGCTTGGCAATTGACTCATATTTATGACAGTTGCAGCGTCCCAGGGCAATGTGACCATCCCCTTTTGCAACCTTCTGACCAAGTCAACGGGGGAAGCCAAATTCACTTAACAACCATGTTCCTAACAACTGCAGCGATTCACTTAACAATTGTGGCAAAACTCACTTAACACATGTCTCATTTAGCAACATATCTTTTGGGCTCAATTGTGGTCATATGTTGAGGATTACTTGTACAACTGGCCTGAAGGCATGGACATTTCAGTCCCCTGGGAGCAACGAGTCCTTGATTTTGGGTGCATTCTTTAAGTTAGCCCCTTTGAGCTACTTTGATTCAAAAATGGTTGCCCTACGATGCTCCATTTCACACAGCTGAAGGTTGCAAACAGAGGCAGAAGAGTTTTAATAGTATATACATTGACAACATTAAATTCTTGGCAATTCTTGCGGTTTTCCCCTTTTGAGAACAAATGAGCAAAAAAGAAGGAAGGACAGACAGATATACATAAATGTTTCCTCCGTCGAAGATTCACAAGGAGAAGGCAATCTTCATGGTCTCTTTATGTCTATTAAACATATTTAAATATCTACAGACCCCTCACATCCCAGATATAAACTGTTTCAACTCCTACCCTCAAAATGACGCTGTAGAGCACTGCACACCAGAACAACTAGACACAAGGACAGTTTTTCCCAAATGCCATCACTCTGCTAAACAAATAATTCTCTCAACATTGTCCAACTATTTACAAAGGCTGCACTACTATTACTATTAATCTTCTCATCACTCCTTATCACCTGTCCCCTCCCACTTGTGGCTGTATGACTGTAACTTTGTCACTTGTATCCTTAGGATTTATATTGACTGTTTCCTAGTATGATTTGATTGCTTATTGTACCCTATGTCTATGATTCTTGACTCTTGACGAGTGTATCTTTTCTTTTATGTATACTGAGAGTCTTTGCACCAAGACAAATTCCTGGTGTGTCCAATCTCACTTGGCCAATACAAGAATTCTGTTCTATTAAACTTACCGCATCTTTTTCCTCTACAGCACCTGCGGCCTTGCTGAAGAACTAGAGCAAGAGAAGAAAAATGCACAGCCAAAATCTGCTTGCGGCAATGTAATTATTATTTTTTCACTCTCAATCCAGACATTGTTTAGTCTAACATTAGAACATAATGCCAACTATGTGTCCCACAATGATAATTTATAGAATAAGGATTTTTATTCATGAACAAATAGGCCATTGCTAATTTTAGCTGATGCTTTTATGTATTTTTAGTAAGGAAAGAGACAAGGAGGAAACGCCTTTCCCGTCAGAATGCTTCCAGTTTAATATTTGTTTTTAACAGAGATGGTGGGTTTGATTCATGCGCACATTTAATTGATTGGCATTTCAAGCAATGAACTAGATTTTTTAAAAGGGATCATTCTTTTGATATGAGGAATTGGCAACCAACATCCACGTTCAGCATCTGCATGTGTGACATGCATTTTGGAGCTTGATGGATTTTGGATCTTGGTGCCGTAAGACAATATAGATCCAGGAGAGCAGGTTCTGGATGACACCCTTCTCTGTGGAGCGGGGTCTGGAGGCATTGATCACCTGAGGCAGCAGCTAGGTGACAGTCTCCCTCCGGTTCCTTATCTAGCTGGATTCAGCCATTTAGTTACCAAATTTAAGAGAGGTGCCTACCCGAGTGGGCTCTGGGTGGCTTACCCAGTACGATACAGGGAGTTTTTGACTTAGCGGTTACAACAGACTTCTCCAGAGCTACTTACAACTTGGCTTCAAAGTTCCAACAACCCTCCCCCATCACGTGATCACATTTGGATGCTTAGGAACTGGCCTGCATTTATGGCCATTGCAGCCTCCCGGAGACACATGATTTAAATTTATTTATTTATATTTTTATGTATATTGGGGGGGGGGGGAGGCGCTTTCCAGAACGTCAGTAGAGTGGGCGCTGGCCATGTCTCCGGGGAGAGGCAATTCCAGAGGGTTGTGACAGAGAAGACCCCCTTCCTTGCTCCCACAAGAAGACGGCCTTTTAACGGAAGAGGCCTGGAGCACATCCACTCCGCCCAACTGTAATAGGATGCTGTTTCATTTATGGATTTGTTTATTAATTTTTATGCCGCCCATCTCCACTGCAAGGTGACTCTGGGTGGTGTAAAATCGGGATTCTGATGACACCTTGGAGGGAATAAGAGCAGCACAAGCAGCCCTTGGGCTCTTCAACGAGTCTGTATCTGGCTCCTGGAGACAACTGGCCCGGGTGCAAGAACTCAGGGGGCAGGATGGGGTTCAAAGATCCTAGTTTATTCCATGTGACCTATACACCAGAATCTGAACCACTGAGGGTCCAGGTGAATTGGCACCAGAAAAGAGTCAAGGGTGGCTGGACTTAGGTCTCTTACGGGAGCGTAGAGACTCCAGACTGATGAAGTGCTTGACACACACACACACACACCCCTCGGCCTCAGCCTGGTTGTCTCCTACAATTAAGAGCACAAGTCACCCTGAAGGCTGGCTGCTCTTTGGTCTGGTGGTTTCGCCTTCTTCAGATGCCACTTTTGTTCCTCTCTAGTGCTACCTGGGGGATGCCTTCCGCTGCGCCAGCTGCCCTTACCGTGGCATGCCAGCCTTTAAGCCTGGCGAGAAAATCCTCTTGAGCGAAACCAACCTTCAGGACTCCTGAGAGAGGAGCAGCAACTCACAGCTTCCTTGGCGGTGCTTCATGGTTTGGACACAACCGGCAGTTTCTCTAGTAAAGAGGGAGGAAGTCTGGACTTGGTGGGGGGATCAGCAAACAAATAGGTGGACCAATGCAGGCTGTGTCCGCTTTCAGGATTCCCTGGCCGACACAGATTTTGGCTGTTCCCCCACGTCCTGCAGATCAAAAGATCTCGCTAGTAATCTTTCCATTTACTTTGCCTGCAGAACGTGGCTGTGCCAAACCCCGACGGGCGGGGCGGGTGGCGTTGGCTTGTACTCAAAAGGTGCACCGTACATCTCCATCCCCAGTTTTATACCGAGGGGAGGATTCAAAATTAAACCTGTGAAACTCTCGACCTTACTTTTGTTTTACTTTGGCTCACAAAGGTCTCGATCATTATTTTCCCGAGGAGTTTTACGCAGAAGTCACTATTCCAGCTGGTTGTGGTTTTTTTTTTAAAGAAAGTTTGAGAGTCCAGATTGCTGGAAATACTGTCTCAGAAGTGAGTGTAATAAAAAGTTGGATCTGAAACTGTTTCGTGGCTCTTCTAGAAAAGGCTTATACAATCAATCTGGAGCTTGACGCCTATTGACCGGGGATTATACAGCATTAGAGCAGCAGGCTGGCTGGCTGGCTGGCTGATTGATCACGGCAGATTGTAAGGGATCAGTCTACATACCAAAGGAGGTTAATTTATTAGCGGGTTCAAATTATTGCAGAACGTCCTTCATTTCCATTGCTAGCAAAATCATGCTCAGCTTAGAGCCCCACGTGGGAAGAGGGCAGGGGCGGATATTCAGGTTGAAAAGGCCAGGAAACAAAAACGTTATTTCTGATAGTCACTAAATAATTGAAAAAGCCAACAAATACCAAAAAACACCCCACTATCTTTGAATATAGAAAGGCCTTCCAGTGTGTTGGCCATCACAAGTCTGGAAGAGTTAAGAAAACGGAGAACCCCACATAAAACCCATATATAGGTCAGGAAACCACATTCCAGATGAAAGAAGATGAACAAGGCTTCCAAAGAGTGAGGCCAGGTCATTGCCAACATCGGTCGTCACAGGTCCATACATTCCCATCTTCCAAGGTGAAGTCAACAGAATTTTATTAATTCAACCAGTTCTTGTCTTTCTTGTTTAGGGTCCTTAGACCCTAAGAATGATTCAGTGTGCATCCAAAATAAATAAATGTGTTTCCTGGCCTTTTCTAAAGCCAACTTGAATATCTGCCTTCCCTCCCATGTGAGGCTCAAGTCTAAGCATGATTTTGCTAGCAATGGGAACGAAGGGCGTTCTGCAATAATTTGAACTGTCTAATAAATTATAAGGGGCTGAGGATGGACTCCGAAAGAGGGCTGCAAGCTTGGAGGTCCACTGCTGTGACTTTAGGTGTACAGAGTCCTTAATTTACAACCAGTTGCTTAGGAACCTTTCAAAGTTACGGGGCATCCCGAAAAAAGGGACTTTATGACCCAGATTTGAAGTCCTAGTGTCTGCCTGTGGCGTTCCCCCATAACTGCATTTTGGCCATTTGTAGCCTCTGGCTGCTGTGTGACTGCAATTTTTGATGTGTTTACATCTGGTTTTCAAAAAAAAAAAATCCACCCCATAAACCCCTTTTTTAACCACAGAAAAGTCATAAAATTGGGTACACTCATGTGTTTGACCCCCTTTATGACTGTCACACAACCCAAAGTATAGACTCAGCCATAAAATTGAGGACTTTGGAATTTTGCTTACTGTTTCAGCGCCCTTTTAATTTTATTCCAACAACAAGTTTTATACTGGCCACCAGACTATTAAGAGTGAAGAGATTTCCATCCAATGATGTCACTTCAAGAGAAACCTGATCTTTGGTGGTGCTTTTTTAAAATAAACTGTTCTCCCATTGCAGTGCAAGCTGATCTCTTGAAATGATTCTTTAATGTTCCCTCGAAAAGCTCCCTTTGTATGTATATATATCATAAGTCTCCCAGCTGCATAAAATGCATTATTAATACGCAGCATGTTAACACATGGTTACAAAGAGCAAATCTAAACAGCAACCAATTAGCAGATTAAATAATGCAGGCTCCAGTCTCTAACCATGAATTATTGACTTGTCACTTCCGCTTCTTTTTTCCTCGTAATTTCCTTCTTTACATATTTTTGTTTCTATGCTTCTAAGTATCTCTGAAGTTAAATCTTTAATGTAGTCTTAATTGCAACATGGTTAACAAGTGTATCAGAAAAATCAAAGTGTCAGAATCCTTGGTGGTTGTTTTTTCTTCATATGCCTGCCTGGGGAAAAACTAGACCGCTTCAGAGCAGCAAAGAGATGCAATATTTGCACTTCCCTTTGGAATCAGACTTACAACCACTTGTCACGCAAGCATTTCAGCATCCCCGTGGTTATATGATCAGAATTCAGACGCTTGGCAACAAGCTCATATTTATGACGGTTGCAGTGTCCCGGAGTCACATGATCACCTTTTGCGACCTTCTGACAAATTCAAGGGTGGAAGCCAGATTCACTTAACACATGCGGCCAATTTAACCCCTGCAGTGATTCACTTAACTGTCAAAAAAGGTCGTAAAGTGGGGCAAAACTCACTTCACAAATGTCTCACTTCAGAACAGAAATGTTGGGCTCAATTGTGGTCGTAGGTCAAGGACTACCTGTAATCTGCTTTACATTTACAGTATAGCAATAGCAATAAGACTTTTTATACTGCTTTATAGTGCTTTACAGCCTAGGTAGTTTACAGAGTCAGCCTCTGGCCCCCAACAATCTGGGTCCTTTTTTTACCCACCTCAATAAGATGGAAGGAAGAGGGAGGGAGGGAGGAAAGAAGGGAGGAATGAAGTAATGAAAAGGGAGGGAAGGAAGGAATAGCAATAGCATTTAGACTTCTGTACTGCTTTACAGTGCTTTTATAGCCCTAAGCGGTTTACAGGGTCAGCCTGTTGCCCCCAACAATCTGGGTCCTCATTTTACCCCCCTCAGAAGGATGTAGGGCTAAGTCAACCTTGAGTCTGGTGGGATTTGAACTGCCAAATTGTAGGCAGCCGGCTCCAGCAGAAGTAGCTTGCAGGACTGCACTCTAACCACTGCGCCACAGAAGGTCCTTACCATATAAATACACGTATAAATAGTATAAATAGCTCCAAGCATATATTGACCCAACAATGGAAAAAGCAGGCACTACAGTAATTATTTAAAATTATTCCACCCCCCACCCCCCAAAATTTTTTTTACTATTGCTGTATTGGCCAGTACTGAGCAAGTAACCCCAGCTAGATATCCGGAGCAGGACAAAAAAAAAATATTCCATCTATTCTTGGAGAAAATGCCTTCCCAACCACCAAAGTGCCAATCAATGTCACCTCGGATAAGCTGGCAAGTGCCATAATGAAGAGTTCACCATGGAGTATTGGGGTGCGGGGGGAGGAATCCTGAACTTTAATCAAACCATTGGCTGCTCTCCTCTGATCTTGGCTGGACTCCCAAGTTAAGTTTTAAAAAAAAGATGTATCCCTAAAGGCAGCAGACAATTTTGGAAATATTGCCAAGGAAACCGGAGTTATCCGAGGTGAGCTTGGCTTAAAAAGCATGCACTTATTTTTTTCCCAAGCACTCATTAGATACTCGTGCTACATTTATCTTTTTAATCTTCTAATCCTTTTGTAATTCCCCTTTTTGAAATAAATTGCATTTGTGATGGTACAAGTGCTGGCCAACACTGTCAATCGGAAGGTGTCCAATTTTAAGACTTGGAGATTTCAATTCCCAGAAGTCCCCAGCCAGCAGGAAACCAAACACTCTTCCAAATCCACCCCTACCCCCAAATCCCACAGCCCCCAAATCATGAGGTACAAAAGCACTCCTTTTGTTCACAAGACTTAGCTGGGATTTTATTAGCTAAAATACCAATGCTAGAATCAGAAATGTCAATAGAAAAATAAAAACCGGTATTGGGAGGTTTAAGTCTCCCTCTGTACAAAGATTGGTTTGCATTTGCTGCGGGGGTCAGGGGCATGCAAACACAGTGGGCTTTTGCTGACAAGAAGACAGGTGCACTCTGGCAGGTTTGCAAAGGAAGAATCGGCAGCAAGGAAGGAGTCCCATCAGCCCCTCCTTTCAACCCAGTTTGTGGGGGGCTCCTAACAAACCCCTGCAGGAAGGTGGGGTGACCCTCCTCCACTTTCCGTTGCAAGTCAACGTGTTCATGGTTGCGAATGTACATATTTGGTAAAGGCAGTGAACAAAACAGCCAGTCCTGTTCTTAAATTCGGACGAGTAAGAAATTTGGTTGTCTTTTTTTTTCAAGTTTCACCAAGCTCCCTGCTGCTGGGTAATAAGGAGATTGCGGATTTAATTCTTTCTGACTTGGTTGATCCTTTTGTGCTCGCTAAACCCGCCGAGTGCAAACAATCAAGTGAATTCAGGAGGCTGGGGGGGGAAAGAACATTTCTACCTCCTCAAGCATCAAGTTAGAGAGGCCGGGCAAAACTAATGCGAAAGTATAAAGTACGAGAGAGCGAAGAGAGCAATTTGCCGGGGGAAAGAAGATCATGCTGGAGGGATCCCATTCAAACCAGTTCCAGAACGCCTCGAAAGCGACAGCCGTTCGAAATGATCACAGTGTTTTCTGAGATTCTGGCCGCTTCATCATGATCAATACATTAAAAATGAGAACAATCACACATTTGAAGCCTTTTACCTCTTAAAACGTAGCGATGGGCAACCTTTCGAGAGTCGTAAGATGCACTTAAATTAGGGGGGGACACAATGAGTGGGACTATAGCAAAGCAGGAAGAGCCCCACCCCCTGTGGGCAGAGGCAGCCTTCCCCCGGGGGGGGTGCTTTTCAGGTGGGTTAAGCCTATGTTAAGATACAAACCCCATTTTTGGCAGGTGCGTCTTTCGTAAAGTGGGGGGGGGAAAAAGCACACGCCTCATTTTTGACGGGGCAATTGAGGGAATCCTTCACAGTGATAAAAACGGAGGGTGGGGGAACCTGCTTACAGGTGGCCTGCTTGTGACCCAGAGCACTTTTCTTTTTTTAAAAAAGGATTAACCCAGCTGAGAGGAAAACGGGTTTCAGAAGACACCCTGATAATCAGTGGGGAGGAGTGGGGGGGGGGCAGAGACAGGACCTTACGGGGAGGGAGCGAGAGAGAGGGGGGGACAGGGTCAAATTCCTGATCAATGAGGAAGTCTAACCACCTGAGTGCTAAAGGCCCCGCCCTCCCGCCCTCCCTGCAAATGAATCCTGTCAGGGGAAAATACACTGGGATCTGCCTCCGTGAGGCAGACTGGTGAGCTCCTGGGCAGCCGTGCAGGGCTGCCACTGAGAAAGGGCACTGATGGGTTGCAAGACTGTCCCCAGGAGGGAGGGCAAGGTTGCCCAGGCACTTGTGAGGGTCCCAAAACAATCTGAGCCTCTTGCCTGCAGGGAACGGAGCATTTCCTAGGCAAAAATGTCCGAAAGTGCAGCCCACTTCCTTCCTTCCTTCAATAAAGGGTGATGCTCTTGTACGTTTGCAATGGTTTCTCTGTGAGTCCATCGGATGCGAATTAAGAGAGAGCATCCCAGGTTTCCAACTGCATTTCCAATCCTTGCCTCCACTCCTCTGTCCCCTGCAGTAAACCACCTGCCAGCAAAATTACAATTTAAATACATCCTGCGCGCTTGAGGTAGCAGTAAAGAGTTTTCCTTCTTGGACTCGACCGAACGCTTCCCATCGGAGGCGGGCAGGTTGTTGCAGCTGCCTCCCCTTCCCATTCTTCCCTAGGAAAGGCTTCCAACCATCGGGGTGAAGCCTCTTGCCCCATCCCCAGCAGTGTTACCAGAGTTACCCCACCCAGGTAACACCGAGAACAGTTTGCCCATTCTTTTGTTCTCTGGGATTCAAATCGCCATCACTCCCCCAACCTAAACCAGATATCCATACTTTAAAAAAACAAACAAACCCAGAAACACTCAAGTTGGCACTTCAGGTTACAAAAATGTCACAAATTATAAACACAGAACCACTTTTCCTTTCAGACCCAGTGCCTGAACACTCGTTCACCAGCAGCGGGGAGTGCGAACATTTTCACATTTCCTCGTGGGTCATCTTAGCCCCAGGCAATAATATCACAATGCGGACATTGAAAGCAGCCAAGTCAGTGCTGGGGTGAGGATGATGCGCAGAAGGACCCACAACTCTCTTGACTTTGGCTGAGGGGGGTTCAGATGAGGGGAGGTCCTTCGGGGAGACCCCCTTGACCCTCAATCCAGCGCAAGGTTTCTTCTCAAAACAAGTCGGCCTCAAGCGAAGCGAAGCTGTTGCAAAGCTCTCTTTTCTTTCAAAAGGTATTGCACAAAACTATCTTTGTGGTGATTTCTCGCGCTTCTGAACCTCCGTGATTCCCAAGCGACACTCCTCCGGTGGCCTTCTGGGACCGAGGCGGTAAAGGGGGCTAAAGAGTAGCCAAAACCCGTAAGAAGGAAATGATCACCACACAGAAGGTCTGTCCCACTCCCCAAGTCAGAGCCTCAAAGGGGATCATCTTCTTCCCAGCAGCTCGGTAGACTCCAGCAATCGCAGCACCTATACAGGAAGGGAGGAAGGAGGGAAATAAGACTTTCACTGGGCTGCCACATACCTCTGGGGGGATTTCTCCCTGTTCCCAGAGACAGGTAGTTCTTGGCCTATGATCCTAACGGGTGATGTGTACACCAGGCCTTTCCCCTGCCAGGATCCAGAACTCTAACCCAACCAATTCTGCCAGAATCAACCTACTTGTTAAGGTCCCGGCAGCTAACGGCCCAACGAGGCCCATCAGGAAGATGCTGACTGGCATGAACCGGCCGTATCGGTGCCTCCGGAGAGTGAAAAGAGCCAGTAGTCCTGCAGGAATGTGGAAGAAGAGAGACGATACCAGTGCCCACAGGAAGATTCCATACCACATCTCTGCAGCGGGAGAGGAGGGAAGAGCAGCTCAGAACAACAACCTGGGAATGGCTTCCACCAATAACCCTCCAGAGGTTGCTCTCCCCATAGCATTCCTCCAAAGTGGCGACATAATTAAGGCTTTCTTAGGTGGGCCCTCCAGAAACTTGACAGCTTCTTCCAGAAGAGCCGGGAATTCCAGAAGGTGCAGCTTCCCAGGTGGAAGAGATTCCCAGGTGGGGGGGTATTCCACATTTTAGTCAGGTTAGACCAGTGTCTCCCAACCTTGGCAACTTCAAGATGGGTGAACTTCAACTCCCAGAATTCCCCAGCCAGCATTTACAGCCCTTTGCGGCATCCTTGAGGTCACGTTATTGCATTTTATGCCAGTTTTTCTGAAAACTGGCTCTTTTGATTTTCGGTAAAAGCAGACCCATAGGAAACCCCGGGGTCATTTAACTGTGCTTGGCTAGTCTAGTGAAGAGAAGGACCAGGGGAGACAGGAGAACATTCGTCCAATATTTGAGGGGCTGCCACAGAGAGGAAGAAGGGGTCAAGCTATTTTCCAAAACACCTGAAGGCCAGACAAGGAACAACAGATGGGAACTGAATAAGGAGAGATTCAACCTGGAACTAAGGAGAAACTTTCTGACAATGAGAACAATCAAACAATGGAACAGAAGTTGCCCTCAGAAGTGGTGGGAGCTTCATCCCTGGAGGCTTTCAAGAAGAGACCAGAGTGCCATCTATCAGAAATGGTATAGGGTCTCCCGCTTGGGCAGGGGGTTGGACCAGATGACCTATAAGGTCCCTTCCAACTCTGATTATCTGTTAACCATTGATGCTTTTGCTTAATGACCGCTGTAAAAAAGCTGTAAAATCGGGTCAGTAACAGATCTATTTTATGACTGTCACAACTTAGAACCGTAATGGGCAGAGGCTCCATTAAGCTCATATGTTGAGAACTACCTGTATATCTTTCCTGGTACCTCACCTTTAGTGAGCCACTTCAGGGTACAGGTATTCCTCAGTTTAACAAGGGTCATCGGAGCTGAAATTTCCATCACTAAGTAACGTGGTTTGTAAAGTGCAACCCTCTCATGACAGCTCTGCTCAGCGATGGCAAACCTGGCAGGCCCAGGTACCATCATTAAGCAAAGCTTGTGGGTCATTAAGTGAGGAGCGGCTGACTTCCGGCCGGCTTTCCACAAAGTCAACAGGGAAGCCGGCAGGAAGCAGCAAGTCCTCCGTGGACAGGTCAGGTCGACTGCTACAGCCCAACCTGAAGGTTGCTGGGGTGAGGAGTGGAAGGGTGTCAGGACTGCCATTCAGCTATGCTATGCATTGTTTGCTGTCAGCCTGTCATATTATATTGTGGGGGGAGGGAGAGAATGTCACACGAAGGAATGCAGAACCATCCAGCCTATGAAGACAGGGACTGTTACCCAAACAATTTGTTAGCACCTTATTCAGAGGTCTCCAAACTTGGCAACTTTAAGACTTGTGGACTTTAACTCCCAGAATTCTCCAGCCAGCTGGCTGGAGAATTCTGGGAGTTGAAGTCCACAAGTCTTAAAGTTGCCAAGTTTGAGGACCCCTGACCTAATTGGACACTCATGGGGAAGGACGGAACAAGGGAAAAGTTAACCAGACGCTTTGGGCGCAAACCCCCCAGATCCGGCTTGGCTTCTTCTGAAACCTCTTGACTTTAGGAGACTTAGACTAACTTTATAGTCACTTTGAATGTCCGCTGATCGGCATGCATTAAAATAAAATTCCGTTCCATACAGCTCTCAACGGGTCACCACCTCCAACATACACTACGTAAACATGACAAAATAAATACAAAAATTATGCACATGCCCACATATATTATTCTATGACGGAGAGAAACAACACAGTCTAATCTGGATGTATGGATGTACATGGCGAGAACAATGAATCTTTTGAGTTTACCAGATGGATGAATGGCCTAGAGAACAAAGCTGATCCAGAATCTGGTAGTCCTGCTAATAGATACTTCTAGTAAAGAGTAAAGGGTACCTTTGGCTAACCATCCCTAACGATGGGCCGGGGCAGGGCTGTCTTAACGCGTGGGCCTGTGGACCCCATACTACAGTAATCTGTGTCAGAGGTGGGATTCAGCCGGTTCTGACCAGTTCTGGAGAACCAGTAGCAGAAATTTTGCGTAGTTCAGAGAACCAGCAAATCTCACCTCTGACTGGCCCCGCCAACCCCATCTCTTCTCTGCCTCCCAGCTGATCGGCTGGGTCTTCTTTGGTTGCCCTGCACAGGAGAACAGAGCTGGAAAGCAGGTTAGTGAGGTGAGGAAGGAATGAGGATTTTGCAGTATCCTTCCCCTGCCACGCCCACCAAGCCACCCACAGAACCAGTAGCAAAAATTGTTGAATCCCACCCCTGATCTGTGTATGTTAACCCTTCAATGCACCCTGCATCATAGAAATACAGCAACCTGTTTATTACATTTTACTGCATTTTTTTAATGAGTTGGTGTTATTTTATTAAATAACACCGATTTTGTTGGAAGAGCCAATAAAATAAATATAGGTTTAAGTTTATTGACCATTTATATTTTTATTCCGGTGAGTCGTAGGAGCCTCTCCAGGACACTGCTTTGCCCAGGGCCCATAATGCTGTTAAGGCAGCCATAGGGGGATTGCTTGCATGTTGCTCTTGTGTGTGTTTGTGTGTGTGTGTGTGTGTGTGTGTGTGTGTCTTTTCAAACTTGACCGAGTTGGGACGGTGGACAAGACAAGGCTGGCAGGGCTCCAGGAAGGTTGGGCAGGTGGCAGCTGCCTCTCCAGGTGAGACCAGGAAGAGGGCAAAGTCTAGCGGGGGGGGGGGCAGTGCGTGGGGGCGGGGCC